GGACTTCGCTTAGAAAGCTGGGGCGGCCGCCGCTCTCGCTGGCGAGGCCCGCGAGCCGGCCCCGCGGATCGCCGCCGCTGACGGGGCCCCAGGCCCCGAGTCTGCACCCCATCAGCCCTTAATAGCTGGGCCAGGTGTCCTGGACTGCCCCCGGGACACGCGCGGATTCGGGCGGGCCGAGCTGGTCGTCGACTCCCCAGGGGGTCCGAGGGACGCGGGGGAACTCGACCGCTCGATCGTCGGGCGCTTCCCGCGGACGCGCGAGGGGGGGGGCATCGCCGTCTACGAGACATGGGCAACCCTGCACGGTTTTCGGCACCTCTTTCGTTCGAATAGCAATCTTGTAAGCACGCGCTCGTCGCGGGCGACTCGCAGTCGACGGCGGGGGCGGTCGCATGGTCTAGGGCCGACAGCAGGAGCGCGACGAAGCGGCCCAGTCCATCGCGGCCCTGTCGCTCGCCACCAGGCCTTCGCCGCGCTATCGGCGGCCCCCTTCGGAGCGGATTGCAGTTGACTCCCCGTCGCATGGATTTGGGCCCCAGCCGCCTCCAGCCCGCTCGATCTCAGCAAACGTGTCCTTCCAGGCGCGGCCCAGGCCGCCGGGGCGCACGCCGCCCGCGGGCGCGGGCCCACTGCCTCCGGCCGCGCAGGCGACCCGCTGGAGAGGCGGGAAGCCACGATGGCGAGCCTGTCGTCGTCAGCGCTGCCCCTCGGCCAGCCGCCCCGGCGCCCCGCCGCAGCCCGGGCGGCGGGTCGCGCCCGGGGCGGGCCGAGAATTGCGGCCGCCCCGCGGCGAGGAGGAAACACGAGGAGAGCACCGACGCGGCAGCCCGGCGTCGGGCCATTGCAGAGGTGGTCGGAGGACTCACGGTGCTGGACACCGTCTCGATCCGCCCCCAGACGCGCGAGAAGTACCAGTCGCCGTTCGACGAGTTCCGGACTCGGCTGCAGGCGCCCACCCCGCCCTCGGAGGCGGCGGTGGGTGCGCAGCTGGCGGGCTGGCTGGAGTCGATGTACCTTGACAGCGAGAACTTGGGATCGGCCCAGCGGGGCTTTGCCGCTGCGACCTTCTGCGCGGGCCTTCAGGACGCGGTGGGGGCCTTGATGCCGCGCAGCCGAAGGAAGAGCCTTGCAGGGATTCAAGCGGCGCGCCCCGCCCCAGACGAGGCAACCGCGCCCGCCGGAGGTGGTCGCGCCGATCGCGGACGAGCTCGCGCGGCGATGAGTGCCGACCTACTGCACAGCATCGGCGGCCACCTTCGATCTGCACCTTCGCCCCGGCGAGATTTTCACCGCGCGAGCCGCAGACCCGACGCCGCCGGCGCCAGGGGCGGCCAGCGCGCCGCGCCTGGCGATCACCCCCCGCGCCTCGGAGGTCGGGAGGTCGTCCAAGACCAACGAGTTCGACGGGGCGCGGCTGGACCTCGCGCGCCACGCCCCGCCGGCCGGGCGATGCAGGCGCCGGGCAGGGCTCGCAACCCGAGCGCACCGATCATCGACTTCACTCTCGAGGACCTGGTGCTCGCAGTGAAGGACGCGGCAGTTGCCCTGGGCCTGGACGAGCACTTGGGCGACGCCCACCTCTACCAGCTCAGGCGCGGCGGCGCCTCGCACGACTGTGCCGTGGGCTACAGGGCCCGGGGGGGCGCGAGGCGCCGCGGGCGCGGGCGATCATGGCCTGCGGTCCAGCGCCACGAGACAGGCAGCCAGATCGGGCAGGCGCTCCTCAAGCTGCGGGATGAACTCCGCGCCCACACGTTGCGCAGGGCGCCATCGCCCGCGGCCAGCCCTGCGGCGCGGCCCCCGGCCTCAGGCCCGCTTCTTCCTCGAAGTCTTTTCGGGTTCCAGGGGGGGCTCGGCCAAGCGGTCTCGCGGGGGGGCGTGAACGTCTTATTCTGGGGCGTGGAGCTGGGCCCCGACCACGACCTTCGCCCGGCGCGGAACCGAAGCCTAATTCGAGGCTGGGTCCGATCATGCATCTTGATCAACGTCAATTTTGGTTTTCCGTGCTCGCCAACGGGACCTGGATGGTCTAAGCCCAGGTGACGCTGATAAAATTCGAGTCGGCAATGTGTTCATGTTCTTCTCAATCGACGTGAGTCGCGATGCCACGTTGCTCAACATTCCAGCCGCTGTCGAGGATCCAGCCCAGAGCCGCACTTGGCTCCTCCCAGCCGTGCAGAGGTTGCAGATGTCCAAAAAAATGTGCTTGACCATCACAGACTCCTGCACGCGGGGCGCGTAGCGGAGGAAGTCGAGCGCAATTCTCAGCACTGGCCTCTGCACGGCCGCCGTGGCGGAAGCCCAATGTCTCGGCGCCGAACGAGGTCTGTGTAGACGCACAGGCCAGCCGCACACCGCTATCCAGGCGACGGACAACAAGGGGGCGCCCATGTCCAAGACTGTCGAGCCCTACCCCGCTCGCCTCTGCAATGCCTTCGCATCGGCCTACTACGATGCATGAGCTTCATCGAAAGCCGAGTCCTGCGACAAAAGGTTGACTGCGGCCCCGAAGGGGCCAGACTGCTGATCAGGTGGTCCTTGAGGTCCGACAGGTTTGGGAGTTCAGCGAGCACGGCCTGCCCTGCGCTCTGACCTCGCCCGGCGCTCGTTCGCAAAGGTGCTCGGCTCGCGGCCTGCCGCGTGGCTGGAGAAGGGAGCTCGGGGGGCGCCTTGCACTTGCACAGAAGTCCTTGAGAGCCGATTGCAACAGCCGCCGGCAGCGTGAATGTGCGATCGATAATATGATTGGGATCGTGAACGGAGCGGGCAAAAACACACGTGTTTTCGGTGATCGCCCCAGGCCCGCGCGCGAGTAGCGAAAAAACAATGTTTGGCCATTGCATCACGCTTCTTCCGTTCCACGCTGGCTCCAGGTTCACCCCCGCAGCCTTAACCGCCGCCTGTTTTTTCACTCCAACTTCTGTCTCGCAAGTTGCTGTTGAAGGGAGTTCAGCGAGCGCGGCCTGCCTTGTCGCTCTGGCCTCGCCCAGCTCTCGCTCGCAGAGGTGCTCGACTTGTGGCCCGCCGTCTGGATGGAGAATTAAGCTCGGGGGGATGACTACAGCGATGGCGGTGGTGGCGATGGCCATGATGACGGTGATGGTGATGATAGTGATTGTGATGATGGTGATGGTGACGATGGGGATGGTGATGGCGATGGCGATGGTGACGATGGTAATGGTGCTCTTGATGATGGTGGTGGTAATGGTGGTGAAGGCGGTGAGGATGATGACGACGATGGTGATGGTGTTGGCGACGGTTGGGGTGATGGTCATGGTGGTGGCGATGGTGAAGATGATGGTGATAGACGGTTATGGTGATGTTGTGGTGATGATGATGATGATGATGATGATGGCGATAATGATGTTGCTGATAAGGATTTTGATGGCGATGGTGCAGGCGATGGCAAGGTTGAGGGTGGTGATGATGATAGTGATGGTGATGATGGTGATGATGGTACAACTGATGGTGGCGATGACGATGGTGACGAGGATGATGATGGTGATGGTGATGGCGATGGTGATGATGGTGATGTTGATGGTGGTGATGGTAATAGCGATTGCCATGGTGATGGTAGTAATGGCGACCATGATGATGGTGATGCTGATGGTGATGTTGGCGGTGGGTGTTGGTGAGCATGCGGAGGATGGTGGTACAGCTGATGGTGACGATGATGGTGATGGTGATGGTGATGGTGGTGGTCGTGATGGTGATAGTGGTAGTGGTGATGGTGATGGTGATAATGACGACGACGTCGATGGCCTTGACGGAGGTGTAAATTGTGGTGACGAGGGTGATGGTGACGGTGGTTGTGGTGATGGTGGTGATGGTAATGTTGATGGAGACGGTGATGTTGTTGATGACGATGATGGCGCTGACGCAGGTGGAACTTGCGGTGGTACTGGTAATGGTGACGATGGTGATATTGATTGTGGTGATGGTGATGCCGATGGTGATGGTGATGGTGATATTGGTGGAGATGATGGCGCTGATGGAGGTGGAGCCTGAGGTGATGACGGTGATGATGATGCTGATGCTGGTGGTGATGGTGGTGTTGGTGATGCCGATGGTGACAGTGATGGCGTTGACGGAAGTGCAACCTATGATGGCGATGGTGATGGTGGTTGTGGTGATGTGATATTGGTGATGGTGTTGTTGTTGACAATGGTGATGCGAATGGTGACGATGATTTCGTTGGCGGGGTTGGAACGTGTGGTGACGATGGCAAGGGTACTGGTGATGGTGATGGTTGTGATGATGATGCCGACGGAGATTGTGATGGTGATGGTGATGGTGACGATGATGGCGTTGACGGAGGTGGAACCTGTGGTGATGATGGTGGTGGACATGGTGGTGATAGCGTTAGTGATGGTGGTGATGGTGATAGTGATGGTGATGGTGCCGATGGTGGCGCTGACGGAGGTGGAACATGCGGTAATGATGGTGATGATGATGGTACTGATGGTGATAGTGATGGTGACGGTTATGGTGATGGTGATGGTGATGGTGGTGGTGACGGTGACGGTGACGGTGATGGTGGTTGTAATGGTGGTGACGGTGATCGTGATGGTGATGGTGATGGTGGGTGATGGTGATGGTGGTGGTGGTGGTGATGGTGACAGTGATGGTGATTGTGACGGTGATGGTGATGGTGATGGTGATGGTGCCAAAGGGTGGCGCTGACGGAGGTGGAACATGTGGTTATGATGGTGATGGTGGTGGTGGTGATGGTGATGGTGACGGTGACGGTGACGGCGATGGTGATTGTGATGGTGATGGTCATGGTGATGGTGACGACGATGGCGTTGACGGAGGTGGAACCTCCGGTGATGATGGTGATAGGGTTGATGGTGATGGTGGTGATGGCGGTGATGGTGATGTGCATGATGACGATGATGATGATGATTATGATGATGATGATGATGATGATGATGATGATGATGCTGATGATGCTGGTGATGATAGTGCTGGTGATGATGGTGATGGCCGTCACGGAGGTGGACCTGTCGCACAACATGCTCACGGAGGACGGTGCCGCGGCCCTCCTGCGCACGCTGGCGCACGGAGGGAGCCAGCTGAGGCGTCTGGACCTCGCGATCAACTATCGAGGGCGCCAGCGGCGAACCACCGCCGCCCCCTGCTTTTTGTGTGTGGGGGGGGCCCTTGTGCCGAAGAAGAAGAGCTTGCATAAACATAAACGGTTGGAGCTCCTCGCGGATTTCTTGATTCCGCGCTCGGCCTCCCTGGCGGCGTCTGCGGCGCCGCCCCTGGCGCGCTCCGCGCGCCACGGGGGGGAGGCTAGCGCGGATCTAAGAAATTTGCGCGGACATCCGAAAGTTCATATGTATGCATTTGCTTGTTGCTTCCCTGTGGAAACATAGCGGGGAGGAAGAGGGGAAGGAGCAAGAGAGGGGGAGGAGGAGGAGGAGGAGGAGGAGGAGGAGGAGGAGGAGGAGGACAAGTACACCCAAGATACATCAACGGTGCTGCAATGCGCCCACCCTGCCCAAGTCCCTCCCTCGTAAGCCCTATACAAGAGTGCCTGTTCACTGCTGGAAGTGCCCCCCTTGAATGACGAGCGCCGCACGGACCTGCAAATCGGGCGAGATCCCCGTTTCAAAGAGGAGCTGCCGTAGATGCTCCAAGCTGTAAGGACGTCGACAGGGTGTGGCTGTAAAGTCCAGGGAGTTATCCAGCGAGAGCTTCGCTTTGAAAGAGAGCCGCCCTCAATTCGTGCAACTGTTCTTCAATTGCCTGTTCATGGGACCTATGTATGGGACCTAGGGAAGTGTCAAGCGAGAGCCCCGGTTTGGAAAGGAGCCGTCCTCCATCCGGGCATGTGTTGCACAATATTTGATTTCTGTGCGTAAGAGCGAAGGATGAAGGAACCGTCCCCCATCCGTGTGGTGATGGGGAGTTTTGAAGACGAATGTGCGCAGCGCTAGGAAGAGAGCGACGTGGTTCGATAAAACCACCTCCGCTCCTCTATCCGCGTCAGTGTGGGATTTTTTCAGACGGACGTGCGCGGCGAGAATGCGAGAGTCACATGCTGAAAAGGAAGTGCCGTCGATTCATAAAAGCCAGGTGGACCGTGTTGGGTTTTCTTGGAGGCCATTTGGGAACCATATTAGGGCCCTCTTGGGTGCCTCTTCGCCCGTCTTCAGGTGATCTCGAGAGTATGTTGGGCCCTCTCAGACATTGATACATCCGAAGAGGAGGAGGAGGAGGAGGAGGAGGAGGAGGAGGAGGAGGAGGAGGGGGAGGATGAGGGGGAGGGGGGAGGAGGAGGAGGAGAAGGGGGGAGGAGGAGGAGGAGGAGGAGGAGGAGGAGGAGGAGGAGGAGGAGGAGGAGGAGGAGGAGGAAGAGGAGGAGGAGGAGGCCTCCTGAAGGCTCTCCTGGTCTTGGACCGCTCTCCGGGAGTCTTGGGGGCGTCGCGAACAGTCTGGCGCCACCCCTGAGCCAACTTGGGCCCTCTCGGGGCCCTACTGGCTGTCTTGGAGGCACATTTGCACCATATTGGAGGCCATCCTGGGCGGGAAAGCCGTTGGGAGATGCGTCGCCCGTGTGGCCAGCGCGTGGGGCTGGAGACCACCAGGAAGCTTGTGGCAGGACCGAGAGATGCTTCGCCTCCGCACGCCGCGAGCCCTTTTGCAAGCAGAGGGTCGCGGCGGGTCGAAGACGCCTACGGCGAAGCACCACCGCCCCCTGCCGTTTTTGGAAGCGCTTGTGAGGCCAAAAGTTAGGCTAGAGTTATCGGACCATGTGTTCACCCATCTGTAATTGAAACCTGTCGGGGAACACGTGAGGGGGAGGAGAACGAGGAGAAGAAGGACAAGGGAGTAGGAGGAGGAAGAAGAAGAGGAGGAGGAGGAGAAGCACGAGGAGGACGCCTCTTGGAAGCCTCTTGGGGCTCTCTTGGGGTCTCCTGGGAACTTCCTGGGGGCCTCCTGGAGACGTGTTGGGGGCCTCCTTGGGCCTCTTGGGAGTCTTTGGGAGCGCTTGTTCGGGGCCGCTTTGGCCGTCTTCGGGCGTTTCTGGCCCGTTTGACGCCGTGGGAAGCCGTCTTGGATGCCTCTCTGAACCGAATTTGGGACCTCTTGAGGCGCTTCGGGGCCTGGAGCTCATCTTGGGCGTCTTGGAGGCCTCTTGGACCGTCCCAGGGCCATCTTGAAGGCCTTTGGGGCAACTTTGGGGCGTCTTTGGGGGTATCTTGGGCCGTCTTGGGCCGTCGGAAGGTCGAAGAGAGGTACAGGCTAAAATCCTTCAAATATCCAAAAGCCCAATATCATAATGATGATATCAATACTAAGAATACTACTGAGATCCAGAATGGTAAGAATAAGAATATTAAGAAAGATAAGAACACGAATAATACTAAGAATGAAAATGGTAGTAGTATGAAAACGAATTGTAATGGTAATAATATTGATATATACGAATGCGAATGACGATAATAATAAGAACAGCCATAACTAATAATAACAAGACGAATTAAGAAACTATGACTAATGATGAGAATGAACAGAAGTTTAATGACAGCAATGATAATAATGGATACAATAGTATTAGTAATCATGCGAACAAGGTTGGTAAAAATTAGAGGCCTCTTGGTGGCCTCTGGGGCCGTCTTGGAGGCTTCTTGGGTGGACCCCGAGGCATCTCGGACACTCTTGGACCATCTAGGAGGCCATCGTGGGCGATCTTGAGGGCCATCTTGGCCGTCTTGGAGGGCCAGAGCTCTGCCAAGCTATCGGACCATGTGTTCCCCTAGCCGTTGTGGAAAATCTTCAGAAACACGCGGGGGGGAAAGAAGAATCGGAGGAGGGAAAGAGAGAGAGAGAGAGAGAGATCAATAGACAACAACGACAACAACAACAACAACAACAACATCAACAACAACAACAACAACAATCATTTTAAGACTGTTCGCCCTGGTATGCTCGAGTGTCCAATAACGCGTATTTCCCAAACCCTCGATACCCGCCCTCTTCGTTTTCGATCGAACCCCTTTTGGGGGGTATACCTTTCTTCCCTGCAGGCCGGGCCCCGGCAAGCGGCGGGGCGGCCGCGGACCGTCGGCCTGGCCAGCGGCAGCGCTGATCGGCGGGGCGGCTGCGGACCGTCGACCCGACCCCAAAAGGGAAGGACAGGGGACCGACCACGACGACGACGACGACGACGACGACGACGACGACGTCGAAGACGACGGCGGCGACGAGCGAAAGCGAGAGCGAGAGAGAACGACAGCAGGGCCACGAAGGGCGCGAAGTAGGCCACGAAGGGCGACAGCGGGGACACGAAGGGAATGCGTATGGGGCCACGAAGAGTGCGAACGAGCGGGGGCCACGAAGTGCAGATAATGCGGGGCCACAGAAGGCAACTATGGGGCCACTGAGGGTAGCAACTGGGCCACGTAGGACAATGAGGGGGACACAAATGGCGACAGCGGGGCCACGAAGGGCATGCACATGGGGCCACAGTGGGCGCGACTACTGGGTGCCTGGGTGTCGGGAGCGCGGCGCTTGGGCAAATTGCAGGAAATTCCAACGCAAGGCTATTCGTCAGTAAGTTGCAAGCAAGTCTCCAGCGAAAGCGCGACTCCAGAGCTCCGGGAGAGCGATTCCTCTCGCTTCGCGGGGTGCACGTCCGGAGCACGTACAGTCACGTCGCGGGGCCTTCTGGGAGCCTCTTGGGGGCCTCCTGGAGGCCTCTTGGGAGCTTCTTTGGGCCTCTTGGGGACTTCTTCTGGCCTCTTCCCCCCCTTTTTTGACTCCCTCCCCATCTTCCCTTCCAGCGCTGGCTCTAATCATGGGCGCCGCCGTGACCAACTTCCACCTGGCTGGCGCTGCGCCGCAGTTCGTCCAGGGGGGGAAATAATATTACACTCCAGTCGCTATGTGGCCTTTGGGGGGCTTCTTTGGGGCCTTTTGGAGGCTTCTTGGGGACTTTTCGGAGGTCTCTGGGGGGCTTTGGGGGGCCATTTGGGGGCCTCTTGGTGGCCTCTTGGGGCCTCTTGGGGGCGTCTTGGGCCGTCTTGGGGCGCTTTCGCGCCGTTTGGCCCCTTCGGAGGACTTCTTGGGGGCCTCTCGCGGCCGCCTTGGGGCCCTCTTGGGGTCCTCTTGGGCCGTCTCAGGGGTTTCTTGGGCCGTCTTGGGGGCCTCTTTGGGCCGTCTTGTGGCCCTCTGGGGCCGTCTTGGGGCCCCCTTGGGTGTTTCTTGGGCCTTCTTGGGGCCATCTTGGAGGCTGCTCGGGCCGTCATGGGCTTCGGAGAGGCGAAAAAGGCGAGAAAGCTCAAATCTCTCAAAAACGTAAGGAAAAACTATGTTTTTCGCCTCTGGAGGCGCTCTTGTGGGCGCTCTTGGAGCCCTCTTGGGCCGTCTTGGGTTCTGTTTGGGCCCTCTTGGGGCCATCTCGGGCCGTCTTAGGGCCGTCTTGGGCCGTCTTGGGGCCATCTGGAGCCGTCTTGGGGCCCTCTTGGATCCCCAAAAGGCTCAAGGTGCCCAAATCATCGGTTTTCCATAGGTTTTTCTAGATTTTGAGGCCCAGAAGGGGCCCTCCTCCTGAGGGTCGATGGAAGTGGCGCGACTCCAGGGGGGGGTTAGGGGGGGAGACATAATAATGTAATACAATACAATATGTAGGAATTATGCAAGCATTGGACACATTGGATCCATTGCATTACAGCATCCGCGGACCTGCCTCCGGCAACACGTCACTTCCGGACGTGGATTCTATAGGCTTACGCCACATCCGCCGACCCCGTGTATTTTTAGATTCCGCATCTGGGGGGGGAGGCGGGGGAGGAGGGGGAGGAGGGGGACACAGAGAGAAGGCTCTGGGTCATGGGTTATGGGTGAGAGGCTTCTTGTATGTGTATCGGGATGTCGCGGCACGCCTTTCGGGTGCGTTTGGAATACAGTTTTGAAGCCATTTGGGGGGCCGTTTCGGAGCTCTGGGGGGCCTCTGAGGGGCTTCTTGGGGGTTCCTTAGGGCGTCTTGGGGGCCTCTTGGGAGCCTCTGGCGGCCCCTTGGGGCACTCTTGAGGCCCCCTGGGGCTCCTGGGGGCGGAGAGCTAGATGTTTTAACATTTTGGCTGCCCTCTTGGGCCC